GGCAACGAGCACATTTTTGGGCATAGCCAACCAGGGTTTTCACATGGGCGTTCAGGGGCGGATGGGCCAACGTCATGGTGGGCAACGCAGGGGTAAGTCGATCCAGTACATGGGCAACGGAGATATATGGCCAAAAAAACAAGGAGAGGGAAAAGGGGGAAAAGCAATAAATTTTAATTTAATACAAACTATACTCATACTCTCAATTAATGAAACAAGTTTAAGTTGCTCTGAAGACTAACACAATAATGGACTTCTCTATATCTGACTGTGGCTTAACATTTAAGGACCTTAAATGATGGTACTAGCTATTTAAAAAACAAAACAAAAAAAAAAACCAAATGATGTTTCAGTAGCAGGCTGGCTCATGAGGGTAGACACAAAACCTGTCATGACTCAGTTTACTGACGTTCTTGAGGAAACGGGGAAATTAATAACCCAGATAACTATACAGAACATCTGGATTGAGAGGAGAGAGGTTTATAAAAGACAAAACAAAAATTCCCACATAACCAAAAACCCTAAAAAGACTAGTTGGTTTCCTGGAGGTTTAAAACACATCCCTAGATCCTAACAGGCAAGTTTGCAAAATTTTAAACGAATTTTCAAGTTCAGTTTACAGTAATCAAGAGGAACACACAAAGATCTGCGACCAAGAGAGAAATGAAATACTACCAAATAAGTATTTAACACAAAGTTATTATTTGCCTCAATTTTAGCAAGAAAAACATTAAGAGCGTGTTCACTATGAGAAAAAAATTTAAAAGGAATTTAGGTGTAGCCAAGCCCTATAAATATGTGTACTTCTGGTGATACCAACATTTACTGTGTCTAATCACAAGAGTCAACCCACTATAAAATACGAAGACTCAAACAAATCACTGGCATTGACAAAAGGTTTCCCAATCTTAAAGATTTTAAGTGCCTATTCTCTTCTTTACCCATATTTAAATCATGCAAGCTTAACATTAATTTGTTTGTGTTCCATGTGCAAGCTGTTAAACAGATGGACAATTAAAAAAAGAAATAAAAATTTGAGTTTAATCAGCCACCTGCAATGGTTTTCAGTAACACTGTAATTGATTCACACACGGGAAATGGTGCAATTAAGGGTTTTTACACTGTCGTTATTGTTATTTCTAATTAAGATGTTATCTTGCTTGAAGTGAATAATTTGGTGGAAAGTTATTAGAAAGTGAAGAGGTTTAATATAGATTCCCCCCACCCAACACAAACTGTTAAACCAGGAATGGCAAACCTTGAAATTATCTATGCAACCAATGATTACAAATGGCTGGTATCTAGACTATTAAATGATTTCTATGATGCAACTCCTTAAATTTCTACCAACTGAAGCTGCTTGTGTAGTTTAAACTCTTAATACTTACGTCTGTACGCAGAGCCTTAATATTCTTGCCTCCTTTTCCAATCACTGCCCCAGCATTCTGGAGAAGATAAAAAGAAATTAATTTTCTCGTTCCTTTTCTTGTGCTCTGAAGCTTCCACCCCCCCCAATCCTTTTTCTGTTATAAAGCTGGAAATTTATTTGGGGATATCAGAATCAAGATAAAATATTAAAGAAACACCAAGTATCTAATGTGCTTTTTTGGTTCTGATAACCAAAGACAGAGCTTTGGAATATTCAGAATGTAAGAATACACTAAATATAAAACTTTAAGTACTTATTACTTGTATAGTATCCATCTGTAAACAAATTAATTTACAGATGGATACTATAAATTTGTGACCTGATAGTACTAAGTAAATGGCCAGTTTATTTTCTAATAAATTTACGTTGTAACCAAAATCCATTTATGCTGTAAGAATCACCTATACCCTTTCTCCTGGTTTTACCTGTAAGTGGCTCAGTATATTAAGGGATTTCATTTTAATTATTAGCCAAAACATAAAAACCAAACCAACCCCCCCCCCAAAGCCTCCAAGTCCCACACATCTTTTAAATTTTTTAATCTTTAAGGCTTTGAAGGCTTCCCAGGAGGCCTAACCAGAAGTTATCTTAATTTCTACTTGAGTAAGAGCCATTTTCAAATTTTCAAGAATAAAATTAATACCTTGCTCTGAAGCAGAATGCGCAGTTCAACCATCTCATCAGTGTTTCTAGATCTTTTAAAAGCTTGTTCCTCTTCCATGTCTTCTGCAGGGCGTTTACCTAGAAATTAACAGTTCAAATTTCAAAGAATGCACCAGCATCTTCAAGAAAAAGCACCTTTAATTATATTTAAGTTTTCATGTAATTAACAGGTTAAATTAGAAAAAACAACTACATTATGTTTGAAGAGATTTGTTGCTAATTGCAAGTTTGTTTAAAAAAGCCCTAAAGGCATTCATATTCTTGGATGTTTACAGATCAAAGCATGCTCCCTCTTTCAGTAACATTTTCTAAATGAGGTACTGTGACAAAATACTTCAAATGATCAGAAAATTCAAAATGCAAGAGAAAACTTTTTGTATTGGTTTTGTCTTAGTTTAATTACCTACCTATGCAAGGGTTACTTTTAAGTTCATAAATAGAAGCTGAGAATTAACTCACAGCAATTTCCAACTACACTCACAATCATTAACAACAAAATTAACAGAAATGTCCCCTCACCAAATTCACCATTGGTTTCAGTGTTGGGGAAGGTTTCCTCTGGCTGTTCAGTTTCCATTTTCTTGGATTATATTGAACACCAATCTGTTGGGAAAAAAATAAATAAAGAAGCTAGTACATCTGGCTTACTGGAAAACAAGATGTGTATGTTGCTAAACATTAAAAAAGGCAAAGAAACAACTCTGCTTCTAGAACGTACCAATTATATATCCTTCCAGAGGAGAACTGAAGTGTTCTGGGCGGGACCAACTGACACCCTAGTGCTGCAGTAGCCTAAAAAACCAACATAAATCAGTTTTGCCTTTGGGTTGCTAATTACTTGATACTAACAAACACTGATTTGAACACAACAAACTAAAACGCTGTTTCTAAAACTCGTTTCTTCAATTTAGGGCTTTAAAACCTCAAACGATTGCCTTAAAAATCCAAAACAATCTTATCGATTTTTTTTTTTTGTAAAGAACACTGAAGCCATCTAGTCCCACCACAAAAGTTATTTTATATGATAAATACAGGTAAGATCAAAGGCACAACAACACACGAGCCTCAATTCTTTCGCCAAAGTTTAACTTATACAAAAACATAAAACAAACCAGTTTTACATTAAAATTTAAATTGTTTGGGGGTTTCTATTGGGACTTGAAATGTTTTCTAAAACCTCGGAATTTCCAAACATCAAGGCAAATTCAAGCCATGCACAACAGTCAAGTCAATCTGCTGAAGGAATCTCAGAACCTGATTTAAGAGCAAACCCAAACTGCCAGTAGTATTCGATTTACACTAGGTTAAAAAGGCACAGCTTAACAATTACACCTTTACAACCAGAATGGTCAAAGGACTGCGAACAGTCCCTCTCACTACTGGCAGAAAGCGACGGCATGTGGTCCCTGCTTTAAAAAAAGAAAAAGGGGGGTGGGGCGGCAACATTTGTCTTCCATTCTTCCTTAAAGTTTGTCGATAAACCACTTTTCCAACGACTAACTGAAACTCTTCTTCGAGCCCATCGCTCAAATACTGAGGTGTGGCAGAATATTTGGATAAAGGAATTTAAAAACAAACAGAAGGGTGTTTGTAAGCAAAAAACGTTGTTGCGATCCTTCTATCACCATTCCTCAGAACGCAAAATTCGCTAAATACGCACGCAAGCAGCCGAGGCAACATGCATTCCCCTCCCCCACACGCGATACCAGAATCCGCAAGAGCCAGGTAACGCGAGTTGAAAAAGTCACGGGCGAGAGCTGAAGCGCCGCTACTCTCCTGGATCCGACAGGAAATGGCGGCCTGTGTAATGGCGACTACGTGCTACTAGGCGGAGCCGGGAGCCGGGAGCCGACCCCTCCCCCATCCACCACGCGGTCCCGAGATCTCATCCCCCGCACCCTCCCCCCACCGCGGGTGAGACAAAGCAACGGAGGCAGCCCCGACCGTTCGACCTCTCCCGCTCCAGGTCCAAGCCCCGGCCGGGTCAGCGAAAGTGAGGCGGGACCCACACAAAAGACGGCGTTCTCTTCCGCCCTGGGGTCCGGCTCGCAGGCCTCCCACCACCTCTCCCCCCAAAATCCTGGTCCCCAAGACTGAAAACTACAGTTCATCCAACAGGCACATGCCTCGCAACGCCCCAAAGCCTCTAGTACCACAACGAGGACTGCGGATATACGCTCAGGGAAATGGCGGAGGTGGGGGGAGGGGAAGCGGGCAACGTTCCCTCGCTGAGAATCAGCCAACCAAGCAGCCCTCAAACGCCTCCCTCAAGTGACAAAATTCGTCTCCGACTCTCACTCTCTCGCGCCGTTTGCCTAGCCCCACTCCTCACCGCGCGAGGCCGCCGTCTCTATGCCGCCGCGCCGCCTCAACCGGTCACAGATAGGGAACGAGCCTAGGGCCCCGCCGCTCTCCCCCGCCTCCCGCGCTCTGCTACCCCGCCGTCGTAGCCGATTGGCTGCTGGGGCTTCAGCCGTGGCGCCAGGGTGAAGCAATTGGTCGAAAGCCGCTTCAATCAACGTGCCGGAGGAGGCGACACCCCGCCTCCCGCCGGCGCCTCCCTTCAGGCTGCGAGGCCGCTGAAGGCCGGAGGAAAACCAGACTTAGAAAAAGTCAACGCAGCCTTTAGGGAGGCCAATCCCCTTCCTGCGTCCCTAATACCGAAGTCCCAATAACCCCAATTACCTACAGGCCGTCAACAAGCGGAACGTAAGCAAGACGTCGAGGTTGGTGCAGCCGAGAAACAGAGGATAATGGCGTCCGCAGCACTTTCGCCTGGAGCGCCCTCCTCTTCTCCTGTTCGCGCACTCACTAGCTGGGGGAGGGGAAAAGCCTCTCGCGAGAACTAAAGGCTGTCTCGTTCACAGGCACTGGGAGGGGGCGGGGAAGAGGCGTTTTCGGGGCCTGGAGGAATCTTTTGGATTTGGAGGAGGGGCAAGAGCGCGAGGGTAGTCGGGCGGGAAGAGGCAAAATAGGTTTACGGCGCGCGGCGTTTCGGTTCCTGTATTTAGAGTCGCACGGCTCGGGAACTGCAGTTGCACGAGGTGAAAGCGGGATTCCCAGGTCGGTGCTAGGCCCAGATGAATGCCCCCGTCTCCACAGTCCACACTCGGGTCTCCATTCCTCCCTGTACCCCACTCCCTCCCGGCTGCGGGGCGAGCTGCGGGTCGGTAAGTGCAGCTTGCCCACCAGCCTGGCCCTCACCGTGGAAACCCGCTATTTGTAACGGGCCGCAGCGCCTGTCAGGCGTGGCCCCAGTGCGGGGCGCAGCTGGCGATTGGTACTGGCGGGATCCCGACCGACGCGAGCGGGTCCGCCGGGTTGTGGCAGTGAACCGCGGAGTCTTGGAGAACTTGTCCCTTTGGCTCCTACGTTGAGCCCGCACGCTCGGGAAACTCCAGGCTTCTCTTTGAAGAGACCTTTGATCCTTTCTTTTTTTTCTTTTTGTTGATGGGGCCTGTGCTGCAAATATTTTGTAGTGTCTTCGCTGCGTTTTATTTGAAAAATTCCTGGAAGTAGTATTACGTTCATCCCAAATGAATGCAAGCATCATAATACGTTTAGATACCCTCGTTCTGTTTTTCAACTCTTTAAAAAGCCTACGGTGTGTCAGGATATAAGACAGTGCTCAAAATAGCAAAAACCTTGCCCTCCAATGTTACCGTTTTACGGTATTCAGATTACAGTACTTGCTTTGTGTCTCGTGTTCTTAAGGCCCCGTACTAAGCCTTGGTGATTTCTTTTGTTAAGATCGTTCCGAATCCTGACAATTCCCGGAAATCGCCAGGGTTGATTGTACCCAATTTTCACATCATGATCCTTCAACTCTCCTATCTTCCTCCACAGTCCCAAACTCACGTTGAATGTTAAAGATGTTGTACTTTACACATAAAGCTAAATCCACTACTAGCAGAATACACATATATGTATGTATTTTTAATGATAAATTTGTGCTGATTCATTACATTGGAACTTGATTTCTCTCGAATAATTTGCAAAATAGATGTAATCAGCATCTTTTTTAAAATGGCTATGACTTCGTCTATCCTTTTAACTTTTACTTGCCTAATTAGGAAAAACTAAGCGCTTCTTGGAGCACCATTTACTGGCCGGGAGGGTAGTTAACAAATACTGTTAGAGCATAGTGTCTGAGATTGTGGAGTTTAAGATCTCTTTAAGTGTTAATCCAGTTTTTCTCTAATATGGTTCCCACCATGAAGAGTGCGTTGTAAGTCTTGTTGAGAGGTAAAACTTAACTCACATTTTGGTTCTATGGTACGTGGTTAGTGTTCAACCAAGAATCGATAAGCGTATTTGGGGGCTGGGAAACTTGAGTTGTAGAGATTTAATCTGCCAGTTAGGATTTGCAACATTTATTTGAACCTGTCATTGAAAACCTGGGACATTTCACTAACACTAATAGGCATATATAGGGATACAGTACTAACTAATGATGTTTTCTTTCAAACTAGTATTTTTATTGCAACCATCATTTTCTGTGATGAGTGATGAACAGCAGTGCAAAGTAAGCCCTATCCAGGAACTCCTTCCTCCCAATTTTACCGTCCTCTGCCTGGACTCTAACTGGTAAAAGCTATTACCTTTTGTAGATGCCATTATTGGATGCTTTTATTTTTCATTATGTTTTACAATTTACTTTTTAAGTTTACTGTTTAAGTTACAGGAAAAATCTGCGTTTTCATCATCCTTTCATACTCTAGTGTTTTCAGCCAAACTATGTTATACCTATGCTCATTCATGGACTTGCCAATTTGATTGATACATTCAGTGGTTCCTGTTATGTGTAATTGTATGATCATTTTGCACTCCAAATGAATTCAGAGCTAGTATTATTTAGGTTTGGGATTTAATTTTTTAAAAGATTTTATTTATTTATTTTTAGAGAGTGGGGAAGAGAGGGAGAGAGAGAGGGAGATAAAGGACAATGCGTGGTTGCCTCTGGAGCACCCGCCACTGAGGATCTGGCCGGCAACCTAGGCATGTGTCCTGACTGGGAATCAAACATGCGACCCTTTGGTTTGCTGACCGGCACTCAATCCACTGAGCCACACACCAGCCAGGTGGGATTTATTTTAGGTAAGCTAATATAATTGAGATTGCACACTGTCTGGCTGGATGGTTATTTAAAATATTATAGCTAACATTTCCTGAATTCCCTACCATGTGCCAGATCTGGTACTAGCAATTTAATGCTTATTACAGTTCTGTGGGTATGTTGTGGTTATCTTTTTTTTATGAATGAGGAAATTAAGAACATATCTGAGGTCACATAGCAGTTAGGATTCAAACTCCTAAACCTATTTATTCTTTCTGTTTTTTATCTTACATTAGGTTATGGAAGATCAACAAATAGCCTCACTGATTACTTCTGTCTGATTTCAGTCATTACATATAATTTTCCCCCTTAATTTTTAGAGAGTACCTTCTCAAGATTTTAGGGTTACCCTGAAGTCATTCCAAATGAGTTAAAACACAGATTACCGTTACTTTGTAGATGCAGGTACAGGAAACATGGAGTGATTATGATGTAAATATTTGTTATTGCATATAAGTTTCTGTTATTGGTTCAATGCCATATACAATACCCAGAAGAATGGTACTTCTGCTTCTTCTTCTGTTTTTTAAAAGTTGAAATATGTGAGACTGCCTGCAAATTACTTTATAAACTAAATATGCTTAAGTCTTAGTGATGAGTGATAGAATTTTCCTATTCTATTCTCTTTCTGCTCAGTTCCTGCAGTCAAGATCAACATCTAGAATGTAGATTATTGTGGTTGGCCAAGTTTACTATGCACAAAATGTCAGTTTGCTAAAACTTTTTTCATGATTATAAAACTAGTGAGGATTGTAATATATGTAGTTTTATATCTGGCCTTTTTCCTAACAAAATGAAATATGAACATGTCACTAAATAGTCCTTAAAAATGTTTTTTAAAGATGCTCTAAAGACCCTACATTCCATAGATTGTTTTTCCACACTACAAAAACAATGATAAATACTCAGGCACATAAATTTTTTATCTGCATTTTTGATTGTTTTCTTAAGATTAATTTTAGAGAGTAAAAGAAGTGGATCATATGGTATGAACATTTCTTAAAGTACAATTTAAAAAGCATGTACTTTTGAGGATTAGGGACTGTTTTTTTGTGTCAGAGCAGATGGGAGGCCGTGCTGCCCTAGCTAACATCTCCTCTCTGAGTTGCTTCTACTTGCAGTAACTATGATTACTCAATTTCTTGAGAAAGGGAGGAATGAAAAACCTTAGGAATTCTCTGAAGGAGAAGATGCAAGTAATAGAATTTACTAAATTATTAAGGGGTTCAGTTATTGAAACCCAGTCTAAACATTATAATACAGATTCCATGTGATAATACCTTTTCCATTTGATCAAACATTTTAATAAATCTTTCTTTGTAACTTATGAAAAATAATTCTGTTGTACATAGAATTATTTAGGAAAAATTATTCTATTATACATAGAATTTTTTTATTGCATCTGTTATTACATGCAGTTGTAGGGAGATCAATATACCTTCTACTTTGTTGTTAAATGAAGAATTCTGTGTAACAAATGTGCTTTTAGCAGTTTTTTCCCCAAAGTTCTTGACTTTTTGGTAAAGCATTTTATATTAGCTGTATTTGAGTTAATATAACAATGTTAAATATCTCAACTTTTTTTTAAAGGTTTGGTTATCTTTTGGGGTTTCAGTCATTGCAACTTTTTTTGGCCTAGTTTTGATAATATTATTATTAAATTATAGGATGTAGTTAGCTCCAAAAGTGGAGATTCAAACTGTAGACGGTAGTGCTTAGAGCAAATTATTAATTAGTACTGCCACACATTAATAGAACAATTTAGATACGTTTTTGTTGAGCAGCGTTTCTCAGGTTTTGTCTCAACTGTCTTTTTGAAAGTTTTGTTACTTGCTGTGATAACAGCACTAATAAGTGCATGTTTGAGAGATATATATATATAAAATGCATCCATAAGCCTTAAAATGTTATATTTTGAAAATTTAAAAATATGTTTCTGTAGAGTTATAATGAAGGAAAAGTATTACTTAACCATAACATTATTGTTTTAAAGCTGTCATAAAGATAGATGCAATAGCTGATGTTGAATTTTTCTTTCACTTGATTTTGTAAATGAATTTGGAATGCACTAGCTGAGCTTATTATTTAAATGAGATCTGAGAAGTCTGTTTATTTTAATAGTGTGCTCTTATAGAATAGCCATTTATAAATTTTACATGTAAGTGGGTTTTATATAAAAAAGAGGACTGGTGATACTACTATATTCTTTTTCCACGTAAGTCAGCAGGGTCTAGAAAAAATAGGAATGGAGTTAGCAGAATTTATGTTCTATTTCTAGGTCTTCTACTAGGTATGGTCTTTATATCTTAATCTTTATGCCTCAATTTCATTCTCTCAAATAGATGACAATATGTATCTACTGTAAGTTATTACTTTGAAATTTAAGTTATAACTGTAGATGTAAAAATACTTTGCAAAAAGTTGGAAGTTTTACAAGTAAGAGTTTTTGATTTTTATTCTCAGCAAACTCTTGTCTTTAATTCTGTGTTTATATAGTTGTACCTGCTGGGATTTTAGGATTAATATCTGAAATTGAAATTCATCCTTGTTCATTTAATTTTCTGTCTAACCTTGACCTTTTCAATTCACAACTAATCTTTCTTCCTTTCTTACGTTTTTTCCCTGGTCCTAGAAGTATCAACAGTATTATCTCTTAGTATTTAATAGATTCAGGTAGAAAATAGCATTTGTGTTATATGGTTGCTTGTAATTTAGGGGTATATACTGTACCGAGAGTTATTTATAGTACAAAACATTTTGCAAAGAACTAAATTGTTATTGTGACTTTTATACTTGATACTTCACTTAAACAGTTTTTAACTACTCAAACTACACTTTGCCCTGATTTCAGTTTACTTACTGTCATCACATTAGTACACCTTTGGAAATTATACTAAGGCCATTTGCAAGTACTGTGGTTTTTAAATTTAGTGGAGGAAATAGGTAA